GAAAATTTACATTAGGACGATTTAATGTTGCGCAGCAATCTCATTCTAGGCAGGAAACAGGGTAACGCTCGACCAGATAATATAGGCACTTGAAAATTCGTTGAAACGTTCTAAGGGCGTCGTGGTTAGAGGTCAGATTTGACTGGTTATGTTGAATCAGTTACGATGCGTCGCCTGATATCGCAACAAAGACAAATGTGTCGCATATCTCTAAAGCGCTGCCTCATATCTAACCTTGACATTCTTATTTTCTTAAGCAGTAAGGGGAACAGGTATATGAATCTATTCAATCTTGATAATTGTTCGTTGCCTACATTCCGTTCTGAGGCTGTTTGCAATAAGGATGTTGTAGAATGTAGTGATTTCAAAATCAGAAGACCACATGCTTCTATGAACTGCTATTTAGTACAATGCTTTCTTTATTAAGTTTCATTATCATCACCTGCCTATTAATGTTCCCATTGCAGGGAAAGGCCATTCCTGTGGATTAACTGGAATAGGAAGAATGGGCCATGACCCACCACGTGGCCCAGTGATGATTGGCGGGTGTTAGCGACTGGGTATAACTATAATCTAATAAATTAAGAGTAACGAATATCAATTACCTTAGTCGTTAAAGGAAATTAACGAAGAATAACTTTCTCTACTCCGAATGCTATAGGTTCCGAGAATCCACATGTCTGAACCGAGAATCCACAAGTCTGAAATTTCGTTCACTACTTAATTTTTTTTTTCTTGACTTCATCAATCCTGTTTCCATGTTGTAATTAAGTTGTCAAGGAGAGAGAGACCTGATACGCCCTAACATTACATGAAAACGATGTAAAAAATGCTATTTTCACGACAGGCACGTCCTTACATTGTTATCTTAATTATTTTATTTTAGACGTGATTTGGTTTACGCTCTTTTAATCTTTTATCCTTCAGTGTTGTGTTTTTTTAATGCACACAGGGATGTCAGGAAAACGTTAGCTTAAGGTTATACAAATAAAGTCAATTTTAGATTGAAGGAAAATGTTAATGACCTTATTGTAAGTTTGCGTCTATAAGTGAGGCACTTAAAGTAATAATTCTGTTTATTCACAATGCCAATCACATACATTAGCTATACGATTAAAAAAAAGAATTAACACCACAACAACGTAATATTAACGCTTGGAGCTTATTATTGTGGTCCTTAACAAAATATTTCTATATCGGTCTGGGTAATCCTATTATATAGGTATGTAGATACCGAAGAATTGTACAGATACTAAAATAATATTTTACCTATTTATAACGACGTAAACAAGTGTTAGTTATTGAAATTACGCGCAAAAAATTTATGTCAGTTTTTCTAATTAACAGTACTATGTTATAATCAGTTGGTTACTTCATAGTTGGAGCAATAAACTACTGACAAAACTTATTAATACGGAATGTGCTCTTATCTATTATTATAGCCATTTTGCCATGACTTCGCTCGCGTAAATTATCACCCACGTATAATATAGTATAGAAAACAAACAATCAAATGTTTCTTCTTTAAAATATTAATATCTTTAGATAAGTCAGTCAGTCATAAATATTGAAAAATTTGTTACAAATACACTACGTAGGTAACTGTTGTTCATCCTCGCATTTATAAAGAGTGAAGAGGAAATTGAGTTAAAATTTATGTTTTTACCAAGCCCCGTTTAAATTTCGTAGCGCTAGGTAATAGCAAGATAATGCAAAATTGTTACGAAATTTGTTCGTTGTTTATGAAATGTACATTTTAATTTAGTGCTCTATTATTATAAGAATCTCTCGTAAAATCTTATCGTTTTTACCTTTACCTATACTGTAACCGGTATACCGTATACCGTTAGAGTGATCTCAAAGTAGTCTAACACACAAAAATATAAACAATATGCTTATGTAAATCACGTTTTTCAGATTTTTCAGAATAATATAAGAGAAAAGTTTATTTCTATTGAATAGGCACAGAAACTACTAGATATATTTAAAAATTCTTTCACATATTGGAATCCAAAAAAAGGGTGACGGGCTATACCGTAATTTACGCGGGCGAAGTCGCGGAAAAACAGCTAATTGAAAACCTAGCGAGTAGCTCGGTGGAGTATTGGATAAGCGCCGCGGTTCGCAATCGTTGTTGTTAAGCAACTTTCGTAAAGGTCGGTTACGGACGACCAAAGCTACACCGTGCTTCGGAAGGCACGTTAAGCCGTTGGTCTCGGCTGTATGTACAGTCGTTAATACCCTTCAATCCATTGGACCAGCGTGTAGGGTCATAGCCCATCCTCCTTAACCATCCATAAGGAAGGCCAGAGCTCCTGCAGTGGGGATGTAACAGAATGATGTAATTCAAGCTGAAGAAAGCAAACTATGCTCTAATTCTTCTACTAAAAAAGTAATTATCTATAGTATATTTATATTTCTGTTAATATATTAATTATATAATATTTTTTCGGAATTAATTAAAATACATTCACTAATAAGACGTAGATATGATATAACAAGATATAATACAATACTACGTTGTTCATTAAGAACATTAAGCATGCATCTGAACGGCTGCCCACGCCATTGCTAAATATAGCGAGCTTATTGCATAATGCCTACAAAAAATAAATTGCTTAAAACTGACGGCAAGCTACTGTATTCACTTAATTTTGAATATTTGACATGGAATGTTATATCCCAATTGTAAGAATAAAATAAATCAAAAGTACGGAACAAGTTTATTTGAATAAATATATTTTGACTATGCGCTGCAGTGCTATTTCAAGATGTGATAAAGATTTTAATTCATTAAACTTATTACACCGCTGTCTTCAAAGTCGAGTTCAGGGACTGATTTTATTACAGAATAGCAAACCAGATTCCAAATAGCAGAAGCCCTTATGATTTGGAAATCTGATATAACGAAGATACCACAACACTTAACCGAGACCATAAAAAAGATTTATCTGAAATTAAATAAGGAATTGAACCCGGGACTCCAGAGACGATAACACATGAAACCGGCATAAGTGCCAATCAGTCATGAAAGAAATCAAGTAAAAAAATCGTGAATAAGTTTAACAGATATTTATAACAGCCAAGTTGTCCCTAATTAAGTTACACTTAAAACAAAATTGGTACGCATTCAATTGATGGTAATACCGACTATTAACTCTAGTAATTGTATGTATCACCTAAAGCTTAACTAAAGCCAACATAGGATAAGATCTGATACTAATTTAAATTAGCATTGACATGTTTATGTTCTGTAATTTACATAAAAAATACAGAATTTTCTGAACTAACTTTTATTGTTATTAATAAATTAACCTTTTAAACGGGTTCCACCTCAATGATAGTATATATTTTTTACATTTTGAATATTCTACCGGTTTCTTGGTCTAGACTATTAAACTTAGTATAACTTTAGAATAAAACACGCAGCGTTGAAATGATTGTAAAAATATAATATTCAGCCTTCAAATCATGCGCATAACTATAAAGAATGTATTTAAGTAGAGCCTAAGTCTATCATTGCACGTAAATTATGTAAATTACTTATAAATTTAAGACAAACTATAGTAATATTGCAAAAGTTTATCTAGTGAAATATCGTCATAAAATTAGTTTAGATTAACTCCTTTAAATAAAAGAATAAAAAACTATAAAATACATTTTTAAGCTATTACTATATTGAAGAAAACTTATATTTTTAAAACGTTTTTTATGTTAATCTAAAATATTCCTTTGAGTATACAAAACATTGAATAACAGTGAGCTTACAAGTCGGTTAATAAATGTAAATTGTACTCATAAAACCATTAAGATGTGCCGCTAAAAATTCAACGTCGTCGACAAAAGAAACACAAAAGGAAAGTAGGATATCTCGCTTTCCGACGAATTAAAGGTCCGCGCTAAGAATGCGAGATGCGTCCATATTTCATTCGATTAATGTGTTAGAGAAATCGAGTTGGAATGTCGCTATAGGTGCACGACTCGTCGCGTTGACCACTTGACCTTGACATTTACGGTACAGGTGCGTGTAGTTCCTGTTCAGTTTTCACTTCACCAGAAAAAAAAACGGAACAATATCCTAGAGGGGTTGTTTATATTCCTAGTTTTATCATTTTAATTTTAACCGTATGACTGACCTTTTAAAAAACACATTTTAGTAAAGAGTTTCAAAAATGTGGCAGGAAAAGGTATAATACTTAATTGTATTGCATGCAGTTTGAAATATTTCCTATCTGAAAACATTATACTAACATAATTCCCATACACAATATAACGGGCACTATTCTTTGAATAATTATCTATTTAAAATGACGTTTTTGCTTTATGAGTAATTATTATTATAATAAATTTCATTAAGCTCGGAACGAGTTGAGAGTAGTGAATAGTTTATGTTCACTACTTACTCGAGAAAATAATTAATATCCTGTATCTATATGAATTGACCTGAATTCAACATTCCCTTGTCGAGGGAGATCGCGCTGTTTTAATAAGCTGTGGTCAAATTATAGTGCTATGCACGACCGATTGTCTTAGCTTCCGTAAATAGACACTAGGTTTCATAGACACTGCTTCTATTACAAAGAACTTGAAAAAAGTAGACACGCTAAATAGACGATGTCGAGACAACATCGATTTGTATTTTGAAATTAGATTAATGAAATAGTTGTAACTTTAAACTACAATTAAAATATGCTTAAAATTGGTTTGGCGTGCTAAAATTTGTTGTGCGATTTATTGCTTTTAATGCAAGCAACGAGTTTCGAAATTATTACATTACTTCACAATTTATATTCTACTTTCGAAAATCATGTAGTATCTTACGTTTCTATCTCAAATATGACTGAATTTAAACATGAATTTCCTAATAAGAATCTTAATTTACTTATTGTTGAGCAATTTCAGTCAAATTAACATTTACAATCTTAATGATCTCTTTAGAATTTCCAGAAAATGTGTTTACATTTAAATTGACGATTAAGTGTGTGATAGAATAAATTTACCTTGTATATTCCATCGACGAGTTTCGTGAGTTCTTCCGTCTCCATGGTGACAGATTTTCGTTGAATCAGTTGTGTGTAGAGGTAACGTTACACGTGAAACTTCATCGGGATTAAAACAATAATTACACACGATCCGAATACGCTTTTATCACTTAGTGCACAGAATTCACATTTCATTACACAGACTGTTCGTCGCGCTTATCCTGTTCGGCAGTCAAATCACTCAAACAAACAAACTCACTTTCGACGACATCTGAAACAAAAGAAGAATGATCACATTATTAATTTGAATTCCAAAGAGTTTTTAACACTTTTCTTTTTTTTAAATACTTGGCGTAACTTTTTTAAAGCACCTGTTATTTAAGATCGACGTTATCTAGTGTGTCGAGACGTGCGTCCGGAGTGAGCAATGCCAGTAGAGTCACCGATTGCCTTCACTGCCGGTCGAGTATCTCACTATTGCCGATGTTTAGAAACATGTCGTAAACGAGATAGTAAAGACTGCTGAGCCGTTGATGTCTAAACCTCGTGTTTACTGTTACGGCCGTATTATTTCTATGTGTGGATGGCCAAATTTTATTCGAATGGCCATTTTCGAATAACTTGCGGTCAGTGACACCGTTTTATATTTTTATTATGGTTATTATGGACGTGCCTAAGACTTTTATTTGTCTACACTTAACAATACGACGAATAAAATAGAATTGAATAAACTTCAATAAAATATTTAAATTATAAAAAATATTTACACATATATTTTTTTATTAACAAAAGGCATACTCTCATAAATATAAAAAAAAAACAGTTTATGAGTCAAGATTTTTTAAGCGATATGTGTTGCTTGCAAGTGAGTCTAGTGAAATAGTTACATTATTTCGCAATAATGAATATACTTGATTTGCAATACAACTTAGTTCGTGACGGAAAGAATTTTGTCGCTTACGAAACAAATAATTTCAATGCCACAACACAAAACATATTGGCTACGGAGGTATTGTGCTACCTACAATATAACCGTGACAAGTGTTACATACACCCAAATGATCGAATACAATGGTAAGATATTAATAATAACAAGTTACAGACTTTCGTTTTCATCGTCGCCTACGGATATGCCATAATAGTCAGGGTCTATGACAAATTCACCGCCCGCGGCAAATAGTCCCAAAATCTTTAGCGTCGCACCAAAAACTTTTACTTTCGAAATTCATGCGATTTGTATGTAGATGCAGTTATTTATATGTGCTTAGTGTGGTGGTGCCGCGACAGAGCATAACGATGTAACGTGCCTGTCAAAGTGACTATAACTAAATGAAAGATGTTGGCGTTTTGCATAATTACGCAAGAGCTTTATGCAGTGCGCTAGAGTAATCGTATGCATAGCCTGCCGCCTCAACGCTATTTAATAGATGTTAATTACGAGTACATAATCTGTATGATACTTATGAATATTTCAAACAGTTACAAAACAATATTGAATTTCTATTTTTGAAATAAAACTTTATTGATAATTATAGCTGTTTTCTCGCCCTTTATCAGTGCAAATTGCAGTTTACGTCACCCGCGCATGATGTAGCTACGCGCAGGTGCAAGAATCTTTAAAATTAGTTCAGTATTTGCGGAGATTATTCAATCCAAATAAACAATAAAATCTATCCTTTTTATAATATTAGTATAGAAAATAAAATTCGGTAAAAGTAACGCAACTTCTGTCTCACGTCTCTGGTGTAAGTTTGGAGGTGTCTATACAGTGTTGCTAGAAAAGAAATTTCTCTCTTCGATTTCGCGGTGCCGCCTGTTGTCGGCAGAAAAAGGTCTGAAACTATCTCGAAGTTTTTCATGCGTCACATGCTGGGGAAAATATAAAATACAATTTTACTGAGCGACTCTGTAACTTCGTTTTGGAATGGAGAGATTTCTACGATGATCCACCCGCCCTTTTTCCTTGCATATGCAGTTGGAACAGACGCGCTTCTCTTCTTTTTTTTTTTATTCCCGAGGCGCAAGAAAACGGTCGCAACAGCTGTTTATTTTAAATTGGAACTTCTTTAACTCGGATCGCTGATATATATCACGTACTCGCGTATACACTATAGTGAAAATTGGAGAGATCTTAAGCTTACAAATTTCACTTTTACATGTAACTTAGGTTCAAACATTATCACTTTCTACACCGACGCTTGCTTATTTATAATGCTTACACTGCAAATTGTGCAATTATTCACAAAATGTGTTGCTTAAGTCTAAATACATTAGTTAATACTGGCCATACTACGTTGTGAATAAGACTAATAGGATCCCGTTGGAAATGTGGAATACAAAGGATTCTGGTCTTGGCCATAAAATTTTAGAAAATGGTTAATTTTCGTGTATTTGATGCTTAAATTGCATATATATTTGATTGTAGTAATGTTTTCAAATGTCCCATTGGAATTCTACCTCATCTACAGCTGTGGAGCACAGAAAAACCATTATCTTAGCGCTAACTGTGACAACTAATTTAATATTATATGTTTTTTTTTGTTGGTATGTAAAAATTGCAACCTATGTCCATGATTAAAAATAAAGAAAACTGAAATACAACGAATATCCAGATTACTCGCATTTGAATTTCGAATAAATTGCTTTTTTTTAATTAAAAAAAAGAAGAATTTGTTCTGAGTTCATGTGCCAAATTTGCAGTGTAGCGATGTATGAAATAGTTATATTCTGAGTCAATGGCTTCAGACATTGAGTCAGGCGTTGGCTGGAGCGCACATTTTGCTGACGAACCTTGTTATCGCGAATAATATACGAACACTTGAAGCTGCATATTCATATTCTTGTCGTACCCGAGCTGGTTGCATAAATCGAATATGCATCAAGCTCTTAACTCTTATAAAATCTTATTACGTTTAAAGACGTTCAAAATATTGGTTTCTAGACTTTTATAGGTTATGCTTTTCTAATTTACAATCGTTACGTACAAGAACTTTAGATTTTAGAATGTATAGAAAATTGAAGACTTGGGAACAAATTCTAATACTATTATTCTAACTAATATTAAAATACTTTTTGATAATATAATTACTATATAATATTAGAGGTGTATTAATTAGGTAACTTGTGTTTCTCAAAGACATCAGTGTATATCTACACAATATGTTTAAAATATAAATATGTTCTTACATTTATTTCGGGTATATTTTTAAAATGAAGAATTATTTTTAATCGGAATTAAACAAAAAAAAAATTGCTATCTACCCAAATGAAATAATGTCAACAATAGATATGCCTTAGTTACCAATAACAATTTTGTATCGGTTACATAAGTTAACCCAAGTGTTAGTTTTTGCATACCTCGTTTAAATCCTCACGACGTGACTACCAGTCAACTAGAGTGGCAAGTGATTACATATACGAGCAAAAACTGAACGATTTTTCAACACTTACTGCATATCTCTAGGAACAATTATCTATATTTCATCTAAAGTTTACCTAGTATTCAACATAGAAGCTTTTGATGTTACTTTTCATACGACGCAGTGATTAGAGCGCATGGTCTGTGAAGCTGGAGTTAAGCATTTCTCGCAAAGGCTGGTCATAGGATGGGTGACCAAGCACTCCGGTAGTGCGACCGTCGAGGCCGCCGGTTTGGACATAGGTAATCGGGGCTATCAGGGAGAGGGATTTCCGAGGGTGAATCCCTCTATTAGGCGAGTTAGGGTAGGAGATACCCAGTTGCGCATCTCTTACTCATGATGAGGGGCAGTCTGGTGGTGGGTTATGATCCATATAACATTCCTACCCCGTGGATGAAATCCAAAGGTCTGGTCGTTAATATGCTGGAGATAATATAAAATTACTTAATATCCGAATGAATCTCTCAAACTGACGGTCACTGAGTTTGTTGCGTAAAGTTTTTTCAGTATATGAAGATAGGCGTTTTGTAAATGTTTCACTCAACATTGTTTAAAGTAAACAAAAATAAATTGCCACTTTCATACAAAATACCAGAGACGATAATACCATGCAAATGTTATGAAATTTTATGCAAAACACATTACGTTGCATCTAAACAGACTCAGTCTCTTAAAGTGACTTCGCTCTTAAAAATTGAGATAGTAGAGCTCGTCCACTTATCTTTTGAATAAAACAGCAAGATTTGCTAATTTTACCACAGAAAAAGACACAGGAAACTTTCTGTTTCCATAAAATAAATTACAAAGGATTTTGTTAATGTTCATAAACACATAAAAATATAAATTTTAAAAGTACGGGTTATTTAATTTATAATTAATCGTAGACATGCTGTTATTTCTTTATTATTTCTCAGATATTAATGGATTGATTATTTATTTATAAAATAAAAAAAAGTTGTCAGCTAGCCTATTATAAAGAAATTGAATTGTGTACTCCTAAAGACAGTAAAGTAAAGACTAAAATGTTAAAAATTAAAGTAAAAGATCACGTTTGTTTAATATTTCCATTATATTTTTTATTATTTGAACGTATACTTGCATACCTCGTAACCAGCAAAAATTGTACCTATGGGTGTGTGTGCTCAATATTTTTTTTTCTTTCATACTTTACTTTTAAAATGTTTATGTAAATTGTCAAAAAACCCATTGTCAAAATATTGCTTTCCTATATTCCATGGATAGACTACTCATATTAATATATTATACCAAATCTGCATTGAAAATGCGAATATTAAATAATAAACAGCTTTTTATCATCCTTTTATAAATTGGCTGATATTAAATTTTAAGCGGATTGATTCACGCTCCGGCTACAAACCTGCCCCCGGGCGCTGCTTTATAATTACAGTCATAATTGCGTTGCAATACGGTTGGCTGGCCAAAGCACGCCGACTGTGGACTACGAAAAATATCGCGGGAATTCGGCATTCCGACTCAATACACAGTGGCACTCGGATATTTGACCAGTAATGCGGACACATTTCATTTAAATCTCTATCTATTTCACATTCGTTTCGTCGTATATAGTTGATGTGTATCTGTGGTTATGTCAAGAACTATAAACAACCTAAGCTAAAAAAATAT